CTCATTTTTGTAAAAAACGTGGTCAATTTCCAATCGGACAGATGACAGACAGACAACCGGAAAAAAAATCGAAAAAATCGGACGCTTCCCTTGTTGACACAGTTCTTTCTCGTTCCATTACAAGTCCATTTGCGCGGGTTTATTTTATCCGATCACCCATGCCCAGCGCCAGCCATTAATCAAGAATTCCGCAATCCTAATAATAGACCACACAAATGAATTTCACCGACATTAATCAAAGCCCATTCTTGGCGTCTGTAGGTAGATTGTTGATATAAGGTTTTATCGTTCGGTCGTAATGATAGAAAGCGACTTATTAATGCCCGGAAACCCACGCGAATTGTGCAGGACCGGCTCTGAAAAACCTCCCAACGCCGTGAAAAATTAACTCCATTCTTCTTGTTAAAAACGCATTTGTAATTCCGAATGACTGAGTCGATAATCCTGATGAATGGATGCGACTTTCCTATTGTATGAAATTTATCACACGTATATACGTTGGGATTACTAATGTTTCTTGTATAAACTTTGCGCTAAGCGATGGGAACATTAATCATACGAGTCCGTTGCACCAATCAGAAGAACTTATTTTTAGCGCAGGGCGTTAATTAAACTTTCTTGCGGAGCGCTGGTCGGGTTTGATGCGGTCAGTTTTGCAGTAAATGGACGGTTGGTTCGTAAATATTAGCTTTTTTGTTAATTGGAGCACAAACAGATGGTATCGGTAATGTAATGTAACGTAATTATGTTTTATTTACCATGAGTAATGAAGATTTTATCAAAATGTCACTCTTTTCACATTAATTGTCGTTAATTTTGGGGTTAATTAAAATTGTTGAAATTCTCGTCATTTAAAGTCCTCTGTGTGTTTATAACGTTTGAATACATGATTCTCTGGAAAATAAGAAATTTTAATACATTTTCTTACATTTGCTTCGATTTCCACAATACTATTTTAACTGCACAAATTTTTGAATTACATTTCTTTATTTATGAACACTACATATTTATAAATTCATAAGTACCACTTTGCTACTTTTCAGTCAGTTTTATTTCACTTTATATTGCGCCAAATTTTTATTACTGTTTTCTCCGACAAGAGTCACACTCGCTGAAAATTGGTGCCGCTTCTTGGTGTTCTCAGTACTGCGACTGTAACATACATTACCGCAAGCCAATGGAAGGAACAGCGACTCCACACCATATAAAACACATATTTCGTGTTTGTGAACCAAATTATGTAATCTGCATATGTAATTCGTTCAGAGCGGTTCGCTTAGAAGTTCCATTTTAATTGAATTAACCCAAGAACGCGGTAAACAGATCATACATCCACATGCAAACATGGAGCCAGACGTACGGGCTCCACTAATAAATTCAGACCGCTATATAAGGTCGCCGATACCATGTTGCATATTATTCTCCGCGGCGTTTATGGATAATTGCGAATTTCACGCTTCTGCAACGGCCGGGACGTGCTAAGGCTGCTGGCGACTAAATTCTTGACTTTCGTTCGAAGCGGAAAGGTTAAAGGGAAGGTTCAATTGCCGAAAGACGAAATCGAGAAAGCTGTCCGCAGGAGACCATGGATATCCAGATTATATACAATGGCCGCATACCTTGTCTGTCGTTTCTACTACAGAAGCAAATATTTTGCCGCTTCTTTACGCCAGTGTTCGTAACTATGTATTAAATCGTCTCGTACTGTTGGTACAAATTTAACCAACAACGTTTGTCGTGACGTGATATAAATATGGAGCCGAGAGGGACTCTCAGCCTAAGAACTTTCCCTGGATAAAGAGGTTTGAAATATTTAAGCGGTTCCATTCTTGTGTTGTTGTTGCAGTGATAAAATATGAGAAACGGTAGGCGGTTTATAAACTCCGAATTTATCATTCTCTTTTATCTAATTCGCGTCACATCTCCGAAAAACGCGTCTCCTCCCGTCTCAATAACCTCGTTGACGAATTGACATCACGTCCAAAAGCGCCTCTTATTTATTTTCATATTTGCACAAGCAAAAATGTAATATGGAGATAGAAGCAGGCACTTTAAGTGAAACATGCTCTCGAGATAAAGGCCAAAATTTATGAATTTCACTGTTTACAATAACTCTGCAATTTCCGTAAATAATGCGAAAACTTTATCTTGTACGAGCGTGAGAGGAATTTCCATCGTCATATTTGTTTCCATTTTTTCCGAGCACGAAAATGTATGACGACCCTCATTTTAATTGAATCGATATTTCTGCCGGTGACGACGGCCGCTACAAGAAATTATTGTCAAAGTTTTACAACGGCTGCATGATTCATGTCGCCGGCCTTAAAGAGGCAATCTGTATGCATTTTTATAAACGCTGAAACGCGCTGAAAAAATCATGCTGGGCGAGCGAAAATTCATGGGAAGGGTCTACCTGCGGACGTCTGGGGCGAGTTACAGCGTGAATTTTCGCGAAGATATTTTTCAGGGCACGAGGAAAATGAATAAAGTGATACATAAATACGGCGAGGATATTTCGTGCCGGGTATTATCCTGTGCGGACTCTTCCTGAATGTGAAATGTTCACATGCACCTAAGTAAATTCTCTTTCTCGACGGGATTACCTAATGCCGGCTCTGAATGCTGAAACCATTATTTGAATGTACTTTTGTCGGGTTCGTCTGAGGGTAAAGAGAAGGTTTGTTCGTGGTGAATTGAATTCAACGTCAAAGCGCCTGTTTGCAAAATAGAAAGATATTCTTTTATTGTTGTACTGGGATTTGCTTGTAAAAGTAAAAATAAACTCATTTTCTCACCGTAATTTTACCTTTATCGAGGAAAAAATCGTTCGGGTCAAAAATTGTTACGGCAGCCGATTTGTTTTTTGATCGACTTTTTTGAATCTTACCATTTCAAGCTAGTCATCAAGATAATTAGATGTCAGCCTGTATCTTTGTATTTTTTTTTTTTTTTTGGTGTTGTGGTATTAGAAGCCAGATAACTACAGTACATTTGCATATTGCCGTCACAAATTTAAGGAGAATTATTGCTCGTTTATCATTTGTTTTGAATCTATACTAATAGCTCAGGATCATTACTTGGCTCCCCAGTGTTGGTAAACCTGACAGATCTGAAAATCTGACAGTGATACATTACCACTGTACCCCTTGAATGCTCGCTTGTTTATTCAACGTTTACAGAATCATCAATATTTAACAATCACATCAGTACCTGGTACAAGATATCGGTCATTCATCGCACACAGAGAACAAAAAATCAAGAAGCAAAATTCTTCGAACGAAAAAAGTTCCTTGTTAGTTTTATTATCACAATTCGTTTGTTCTCTTTTTGCTTATTTTGTTCCGCATGTTTTCTTTCCCATCTTTTCTGTTCCTTTTTTGTCGTCGCGACCATGCTTCCCACCGTGAAACTAAAATAATATCAGCCCCTTACGAAAACATTTATTCTTCAAGCAACTAAGCACACAGTTAGCAAACAAAGCAACCGAAACCGCGTAAATCTCACCATTTCTTCCTTTTTTCGCTCCCATCTCACCCCTTTCTCCGACTCGCCGTTGTCTAACACGTCCTCGAAACAAGTTTTTAATTAAATCCGTGTATGAAACACGGGTTCAAGGGGAGAATTTTCGAGGAATTTAATCTGCGGAACCACGGTGAAGTTGCGGTCGTTCTAAAGCCCGGAATAATCCGGCAACTTACCGGCTTAAGGCAAGTTCCCTGGTCCTCGCAGAAAAACCCACGACATCGAATCGTCGCCAACCCGCTTTCCCTTGTAATTCCTCATTTCACGTCCTCTTTAAACATTTATCGGGCGCAAACAGCGAATTTGGAAAAGAATCACGTAATTTACGGCTCGTTGCCGGCGTGGGAGTGTCCTCCCACAGTCTCGTGGATCAGATACAGAATTTTTATTGCCCGTGTGACATGTCGCAAACAGTAGCAGCCTCTGTATGCGTTGCCCTTAGACGCCAAATTGGCGAAAGATTGCCTCGCAAGGTTAATTTGACGGCGGAATTCCTTGTTCGGGCGAGATATCTCAGGAATTCATCGCGATAATAAAGAGCAGGATTCTTTCATTAATATCCAATGAAAGATGCAAACTATGGCGGCGCTCGCTGCTAAATTACGTCTATATCGAGGAGGGCGAGGGCGTTTAATTAAACCCATTAGGGAGAATGCCGTGTGAGCATTGTCTGCCAGGTGCAAGCGATGTTTGCCCTTCTCGACGATGTGCAGATCTTAACGACGCAACTTCTTGATAACTTCCACGCATCGAAATTGCTTCATTATCGCGAGGAAAAGTTTTATGTTGCTGCTGTCTAATGAGGAATAGAGAGGCAGCTGGAGGCTGGTTCGGAGGGTTTTTGGCGGCGGGGAAATCTCGGGAACGTGGCCAGGTAAGTTCAAAGAAAGGCACGCTGAGGGTGTCTTCCAGATTCTTAGTATACTTGCTCTCATTCCAAAAGAGCGGCATTAAAAATTCTCTTTTTTTGGCAGTCCCTTAAGGTACGCATTACACACCGAGAATTTCTTTGACAGCCTCAACCCCTGACTCTTTACTTCAGCGACACCTCGTAATCTTTACTGAAGGTTGGTCGTTATCTGGGCGACCTATACTCCGGAAATCGTTCAAGTCCCACCAGATATCGTCCTCTCGGTCCATTTGCAAGACACATTGCGGTATGTCTGTTGTTGTGGCACCCCAGGGCACTATCAATACCCATCCATTAGTGCTAATAGTTAACGGCCTATTAGGATCGCATGCATACGGCGATCGGAATGAGTCATCACGAGCTGACAAAGCAACCAGCTTCCCTCTATCAGCAAAACATTGCCTCATTAGAACCAGAACCAATTACGCAACAACGATACTCACAAGTCCCGTGTACATACATGTTGGTTTGCATTAAGCGGTAATTAAATTAAACGTGTGCGGTTGCACTCCGGCTAATTATTTTCCTCGGTTCGGTTCGTTCGGAAGAGGAAAGAAAGCACAACGACTATGCATAAGTACCGTTTATTCAATTATAAATAACAGGAAAATAATAAATATCTACATCAATATTTATCTTACATTTACGTTGTTTTTTTTTCTACAAAAAGTTACAAATACCGAGTGGTCTCCACAGGTATAACAATGTATGTACAAGCTCACAATGTATATACAAGTTTAAATACTCTTTAAGTCTAAATCACAATCGATAATATAAAACCCTACTTACAAGTTCATAAGTATTGCTAAAGAAGTATAGGAATTCAGTCTGAGATTGTATTGGATTATGGGACCCGGAGGTCTAGGCAGTTCTTTGGCAATATCTACAAAAGCAACGAAACGTAAAACACTCATGGTACTTACGGGCTACTGCTGAGTCGCTATATGACACGAGAACGAATTCAAATGCAGGACCGGGCCTGGTTGTGCTAGTTAAAACAGGAAGACACATTCGACTTACTGGTAACTAAAAATATGTAGAAAAGAACTAGGACTAGTCGGACTAATAGTCCAGCAAGAACGCCCCCTCCCCCGAGTCTGTGCGCAGGTCGCCCTCCGCTGGACTAACAGTCGCTTAGGACACGGGCCTCACAGACGCCCCATGATATGCAAGTACCGGCAGTCCGATATGTCTTTAAGAATGCACACGTCACAGGTCCAAAGAGCCCCCAGTTCGCCACTTACTTCGCGCACCTCTTCATCTGACAGTGCGGCAGCGGCGGCCGCGGGTTGCTCGACGGCCCCGCCTCCGCGTACAAACACGAGGACTCGCTGCACGAGCAGGTCGTGTCGTGACTGCTCGAGCAAGAATGTCTGTCGGTCTCGACGTCCGCGTCGCCGTCCTCCCAGTGTTGGTTGCTCCACACTTTATTATCACAGTTATGCGGCGGGTGGCAGTGGCCCCTGGGGGTGGACCGCCGCCCCGAGCTGCCGCTGGCCAAGGAACAGTGGGCGTCGCAATTGCCGCAGGAGCCGCGCGTGTATTGCTGCATCTTGGCGCACTGGCCCGGCATGTGCACCGCGTAGCAGGCGTAGCCGCTGCCGCAGCTGCTGCCGCCGCGCGGCGGCGGCACCGGAGGGTTCTCGCGGGGGCACTCGGGCGGCGGGTGGTCGGGCGGCGGCGGGATGAACTCCGTCCAGTTGGGCGGCGGCAGCAGCATGGTGGTGGCGTACGGCGTGGGGTTCTCGGGGGACTTCTTGCAGTTGTAGAAGGTGGAGAGGCTGCGAGTGTCCACCTCTGCGTAGTCGGCGGGTTGGGCGAGCGGGATGGAGGAATCCTTGTCGCAATCGGCCTGCCGCCAGCCGCGGTCGATCCAGAGGGTGTCCTTGGCGTTGAGCTGGGTGGCGTTGACGACGGGCACGTTGAGGTGGCCGAGTTGCTTGTTGAGGGACTGGCGCTTCTTGAGGTAGAGGAGGCCGGCGCCGATGCCCAGGACGACGAGGATGGAGGTGGCGAGGAGGACGACGAACCAGGTCTGCTGGATGAGAGGGACGAAGGGGCCGAGAGTGCGCGGACTCTGGGCGCGGGGGGCGGTGAGCAAAGGCACTTGGGGGGAGTAGGGACCAGGGCCGACGCGGGTGAGAGCGGCGATTCTTGCGTTGTAGGAGCCTCCGGACGTGAGGTTGCTTATGAGAACGGAAGTCGTGGACGAGTTCATGGTGAGGGTCCTGACGATGCTGCCTCGAATCTGGATCTTGTACCCGATGATCACCCCGTTGTGGTGTTGGGGAGGTGGCGGCGACCACCTCACCCACCCCGCCGTGTCGTTGAACACCCCCGCGTTCACGCTATCGGGGGGCGCCGAAGGAACGTCCTCCAAAGTCTGCGCGATCCTAGAATTCGACGGCTGCCCCTCCACCGACTTGTAAAACGGCGAAATGAAGAACTCATACTTGGTGTACTTCTTCAAGTTATCGACCGTGTAACTCCTGGTGCCCACGTCGAGCACCGTCAAGATGTTGTAGTTGTGCGAACCCCCCGACAACTCCCTGAACCTGATGTACAACCCTTCCACGTAATCCGGAGACGTCAGGCTCCACGTCAACTTGACCGAGCTGCTAGTGACAGGTCTCGCATCCCTCAACTCCACCAACTTCGCCCCGAGGACCGTCCTCGCCGTGTCCAGTTCCGACCCGGACACGGCCCTCGAATTTGCCAAAGTCCTCACGATCGCGGACACCGGGCTCGCCGGGGACAGTCCGTGGGCGTTTTCCGCCCGCACTATGAACATGTAGCTGCTGTCGGGCTTGAGTTCGCGCACTACCATGTGATTGGAGACCCGATGGGCCGCCACCACCCAGCCCGTTTGCAGGTCGGGACTCCAGTACTCCACCGTGTACCCCACCAGGCCCTGGTCGCCGGGGTCGCTGTCCCACGACAACGCAATGCTGGATTCGGTCGAGTTCACGATTCGCGGTTTGCTGGGGGCTTTGGGGAAGGTCGAAGGGTCGGGGCTGCGGTGTAGGAGGACGGACGAACCCTCGACTACGCTGAGGGAGGCCGACCACGAGCTCTCCCCGCTCTCGGAGGTCGCCGAGCACGTGTAAAGACCCGAGTCGTCGAGACGCAAATCTGCAAAGAGAAAACGTTTAGCAGAATTGCGTAATTTATGTAATGGAGGCATAAAAGTTTCGCGTTTGTGACACTGTTACGGCCGGTTAGAGTAATCACGGTTTCTGGACGCTTTCATTAATTCAGGCAGGGGAGCAGAATTAATTAAATCCGTTTTTGGCTCAGGATAAAGCTATAAAAATCTCGTTTCCTGGACATATTTCTTTAAGCCGGCGTCATTATATCCGAATTTAGAGTAAATCGGCGTCGTTACGGACACAAAAACACGATTAAAAAATCGATTTCTCGTGCAGCCGGCTAAATACGCACTCACCGTCGATATCCAGCGTCCCGGTGGCGCTGATCGTGTATCTGTCCGGCAATCGATCCTGCTGCAGCACCTTCCCGTCCTTCAGCCACCTGATCTTCGGCTGCTCCCCCTCGGGACTCGAGGCTTTGCAGTGCAAAGTCACCATGCTGTGCAAAGGCAGAGTTTGATTGGCCGGCCCAATTTGTATAATTGGCGGCGGCAGATCAGCAACCGACGTGACCTGCAAACAAATGCGCCGCTAATTCCTGCCGTCTGTCCAATTACGCGCGCTTAATACCTGCAGGAAAGCCCGAACGCTGCTCGATCCTGCAACGCTCAAGGCCGAACAGACCAGGAAACCGGCGTCTTCGCGTTGGACGCCCTGGATGCGGAGAGTGCCGTGGCCGTTGACGTGCATGTGGCCGTAGGAAGTGTCCGGGAACATGAGGAGCTGGGAGCCTTCCTTGGTCCAGAAGACCGACGGCGGAGGGTTGCCCTTGGCGGAGCACTGGAACTCGACGACGCCGTTGAGGCCGACCTTCTGGTCGCGCGGCTTGTCGATGAAAACCGGAGGAGCTGCAAAAAATCAGGTTTGTCGACAGTCGGATGGGCGAAAATGTTTATAAATTTTAAACTGGCTAAAATCGCGCTCGGTGAAGGCCACCTCGAGTCCAAAGATGGATATATTATGTATGCTTGCAATTTCGTCTAGACAGGTAAAAAAGTCTGTCCAGAGACAGAATACAAATGACGTAAGAAGTTTATATTTTCGGGGACAAGCACGAAACCGCCTCTTTTAACAAGATAACTGATTTAAGGCTGACAAGGGCCATTGTTTTGGGGCGATTAAATGGCCTTTCGATAATCATCTGTATTCCATTAGGTCCGCGTTGACATATCGTCGGTCCGTCCGAGAACGTGACAAGTTTGAAAAATACCACAAATACTTTATTAGGGTCCATCAAGCAAAGCGCATCTTCGAGACGAATACCAACAAAAACCCTCATCAATTTTAAATCGTCATATCGGACGTAACGTGACGAGCTCGAAATGGCTTTTGTGCAGATAACAGCAATCACGCGGAAACGCACAGACAATAATAATTTCGCGGTAAACGAAGTTTGGGAACTCACAGTTCACTACGAGGGAGGCTTTGGCCGTGATGGTTCCGACCAGGTTCTCCGCCGTGCAGATGTAGATGCCCTCGTCTGAAGGTTGCACGTTTTCTATAATCAGCGACTTGTCGTCCGCGATGCGCGCCCTTCCGATGGGCATTTTGCCGTCCTCGCGCCTCCACAGCACATTCGGGTCGGGCTCCCCGTCCACAGAGCACTGGAACACTACCTTCTTGCCCAGGAGGGCCACCACGTCTTGCGGTTCTTTATTGAAGGATGGCTTCACTGCAACAAAAAGCGACATAAAAGGGGGCGTCGGAGACTCCGAGATGAGGAGTAATGGCACCGGTAACTAAAAATAAAGGGAATGGAGGACCCGGGGGGATTCGCCCTAGGTGCGTGCTAAAATATGATGCTTCTCTGCGTCTTCGTTCCGCCAGTTTCGCCACGCCGATGCTAATCAGACTTCGTTATAATCCAGAAACAAAAATTCGTTGCGATGGAATCGATCGGCGGCGGCCGGGTTCGTCAATAATGTACGTCTATCTGCCGCCATAATCACAGTAATTAAATTCCGCGTTTAAATTAATCAGGCGGGGGCTTAATAATTCAAAATTTTGTGGCCGCATGATCCTGTCGAAGTCCTTCGTTCCGAGAACCTTTCTGAATAAAGCATAAAACCCGTTCGCATGAAGGGGCAGACTCGATTGCTAACTCGGTCGGAAAAGCAGTCACGATCTGCAGGCACTCATGACATTTAACATATTGGCGGAGAGGTGTGGAAATGTCGATAAGAGGTACAAAAATGCAGGAGTTATCGATTAAACGTCCGACGACAATCGCGCGTGATTTTTGACAACTGCGCCCAGACAATCTAATTAACAGAATTTAGGTGTTCTACGAAGAGAATGAAAGAAAATACATGACGTCAACTATGTTAAGAAATCTAAACTAATAATCAATCTTATCGCACGTCGGCAACACACAATACTGCACCTGGTGCTACTCACCGTGTACTGTCAGCATGACAGGTGGAGTCTCCCTGGATCCCACTAAATTATGCGCTATGCACTGATATCTCCCTTCGTCGTGCTCCCTCACATCCACGATCATCAGATTCCCCCCGTCCACGATCCGGATCCTCCTCCCGTCCACCTCCAGGACCTTGTTGTCCTTCTTCCAGTTCAGGTTGGGTTCGGGGTGTCCCCTGGGGGCCCCACACTGCAGCAGAGCCGTCTCACCAGCGGCCACTCTTGTATCCGTCGGTACGACCCGGAATTCGTCCCGCAGAACTGCAACAAGAGAAAAGTACGGGTTTTTAGAGTACGATTGGGTGATAAGCTCTCGATGCAAATGGATTTTACGATAGCTATTAACCATTTTATCTGGTTTCTTGGACGCCCGAAACGGAAACGCGGAGGTGCTTATGGTAATACGATTAGATATGCCTTAATAAAGGAGTGCACCGTTGCATGGAAGTGGGTTGCTGGTTTACGACTTGACGAGCGAAACCAATAAGTACTTTTAACAGATACATACACGCATCTCTTGTGGGTAATATAAAATTTAAATTAGCCACGCGAAAGACAATGCCACCCAGAAATTGGAGACCTCCCACTATAAGAGTATGCGCGTCTGCTGGGTTGGAATTTGGCCAGAATTTAACAAGGGTTGACGAGGTTTTATTTTCGGACGGTGACACCACGGTGGAGTTCGGGGACTAAAAATGGACGGCGAAAAGAGGTGGCATTGCTGATCAGGATCTACTAGTCTACTAGTGTCCACGACTACAGAAGTTCGAGGTGCTTCTATGGGGGTTCTCAATCACTAAAGCTTCGCCTTTTCGGCAGAACTTGGGCGTTTTACGCAAGTTTCGCGCTTTCGCTGTAAATCACGACGGCCTTTCGTTGCGTTTCGTGCCATAAATCCCGCAGCCCTTTCCGCCGACATCCTCTTAATTAAGTAAATTTACGTCCGAGGATGTAAGCTCTTGTAAACCAGCATGTTTCGAATTAAAAACACGGCACACATGCCACACAATGCATGCAAAAAGTCGCACAGGCCGTTTTTTGCGTCGTTTTAGGTACACTGCATTCATTCACGACTCCTTGTCTGTCTTCGGCCAACACTTGCCGAGAACTCCCTCTGTGGTCCTCGGTACGTGCAGAAATTACCTCGACAAAGGCCATCATCGCGGAGAGCGAACGTGAATTGAAGAGGCTGATGGATGCCTTCCGTTCCGTTCGACTCAATTTGGCTGAAGTTGCACAGTAAAATTTTACTGCCGGACTTGGGGCAACTTCCAGACAGTCTGGGATTTTACAGAGGCTATGAAATCGAGCGCGATTGGAGCATAAGAAACGATCGCTGTACCAGCAATACGAGTATTCAGAGAATGTGCTGCAGATAATCGGAAACTGGACCATAAAATCTTATTCGACTCATGCAGCAATGGATTCGGAGAGCGGAATACCATTCAGCGTATTATGTCTAAATCCTTTGTTCTGGCTCTTTCGAGGGAAAAAAGCACAAAGGGCACGTAAGAGTTCAATTAGAGCGTAATGTGGGGCAATCTTGGAACGACGAGGCTGCTCGGATGTACAGAAACTGGCTCACGCAAGACGGTGGAAGGGGGCCTCGATTTTAATTTCCTGGATGTGTGAGGACTTTCTTCGGTAAAAGACGCACGAGAGCGTTTCGACTCGTCGATCTGAAAATATATCGGGTGTTTCGGACAGAATTCCTCGAATAGACTTGGGCTGGCCATGAAACCCTTTTCGAAACTCTCGAGAAAAAACACATCTTCATCGCCACAACATAAATTTATACACAAACATGTTATTAAATACCGTGTAAATGAACAAAAAATTGTTGTTAAAGATTAAAATAATTATTTAATAAACGTCAAAACTAAGAATAAACGTTTTCCTCGTTGCTAGTGACTTTTTTCTTCGATCGTATGGCACGTTCTGTACTCTCACTTTGGGCCCCGCGCTGCGCTCGCTCCGACCGGCTCTCCGCGCCATTTCTTCTGTACTTTTCTCTCTAAATGCCTCGCTTTTGCAACTCTCGCCTCGCCTCTTTGCTTTTATACTTCCGCAGCTCACGACCGAGCTCCGACGAAAAAAAGGGAGCAAGTGCCGGTGTAATAATCCCCGTAATAAGACGGGTAATGGTCATAAGTTTGCAACAGTGGCTCCCGGCAGTAAAAACCCGAGATATCAGATCCACGAATCACGAAACGGCGCTTGTAATCACGCATCAGCCGAAATAACGGTGGGCGGACAAAGTCTTCGGCAACGGCTGCAAGACACGAAGGCCGTAGAAACGCACTTAAAAACGAATCCGTCAAGATCGAAGCGGCCGCGTAAATGAATTAGGGGGGCGAGGGCAGGTGGAAAAAGGGGGCGACGAGTTCAATATTCAGGATATCGCATCTCGTAAATCTGCTAAATCCAGATGTGCATACAAAGAGGTAAGAAGTTTCCGACGTTCGGGCCTTCTTCTGAACTACATAATAGATAGTGAACGTCTGGAACACTGTTTGCATTTATATTGGGGGCCGAAGTGAAAAAGTTTGCGGAGTGGGGCGGTTTTATTAAAATTCATATTATGCGTGGGGGATTAGCGGCTGGAAATGGTATTAGCGCAAGATGGTGGCCGGTTGGGGTGGAACGGAGGTTTCTTTCAAAGTTTTCGGGATTGTGTCGCGTTGTCTCTGTTCCTGGGTTATAGGGTGATTCCATAAACAAAACTACTGCACCGATTACTCTGAAGTTTTAGGGACTTACTTCGACATTTTGTTGAACAACCTCTATACTACTTGCATAACGGACCTCTTAGAAATTTTGGACTGAAGGGAATTGGCAAATTTTTCGTTCGTTTTCACAAGGAACTTGCATCTATGTATTACTCAATTATCGGAAATGGAAGTGCGCTGTACCTACACAAGTTTTCGTGTCGATTTGTCGTGCATACAAATTATTAACGTAACTAACAATCACGTCTAATAGTATGTATCAAAACCACAAGTGCCAGGTACCTGCTGGCGATCGCTGATTCGTTCTCGCAGAGTGCACAATCCAGTGAAAGCAGGTAAGTTTTTATTACCTAACGTGCGCACTTGTATTTATTATTGATAATTTTTGGAATACTCGCACTGTTAAATGATTATTACTATGGTATTCGGAGTTGCAGCAGATCATAATTGTAAGTATTCGAAAAAATATAGGAAAACTTTGAATGTTGTAGCATAAATTATAATTCCGGAGTGCTACGTAGGTCACCTGTACCTATACGGAATATCCAACAACGATATTCGCACAATAAATTTCGTTCTTTGTTCCGAAAACCGAAAATGACGTTTTGCGTCCGTCGCGAGTGCGGCCCCTGATGCAAATTCCACGTTCCCTCTCGACGGCGAGGAAAAAGCCGCGGTTAACAAGCATGTTATTAAGTTATTTGTAACGTGCCATCGGTAAAAATAGGAAGTCGAAGGCTCATTCATCACCGGCAAGCGACAAGCCAGCCATAGCTGGCCGTTTTGCTATTGGGAATGATTATTTACGGAGGCCGTACAGGAAGTACTTAATAAAAGACGCCACATTTTATTCAGACGATATCCTTCTACTTTGTGGAGACGCCAAATATCGCTGCATCCAGCCCCTGCAGCAGGTCCGTAGGTATCATCATATCCATCATTTTTACAACCCAGTTACAACTTTCAATTCGGTAAAACGGCAGCAATTTACGACCCCATTAGAACAAAGTACCCATCCAGATCAGATATAAAACATTTATGTACACCGAAGAAACATTCAGGAATCAATAGAAATGATATACGGGCCATAAACTAGTTCAGGCATATTGAATTTTCTGCAACAGTCTTAAAACGCGAAGACGATAACAGCACCCTTCATCGTCAGCGGTTTAAAATCTGCATGATCAGGCCAACGAGAAAAAGTTACCTCCGGTAACAAAAGGATTTTTAGCGCAGCGACGAAGTTTGAGGTGACGTCATCAAATTTTTGGTGGGGATAACTCTCAGATAGACCGACGAAACCGTTCAGAAAATACTGGAAGTAAAAATTGGCTCAAACTATTCCTGCAGGTACGCGCTCTTGTGAAAAAAGCGACCACACAAGTTTGACGCGAGCAAGAAAAATGGTCGAGCGGTAATTGCAAGAGGTGCGATCTCCGGAAAAAGAACTTATTGTTATCATTGAAAGACGCGTCATTAATCACCTAAATTGGCTTTCATTCTGGATAACGTCTAGAATAATGAACGAGGCGAGAGAAGAATAATTAAAAGATTTATTTAGGATTGCGCATTATGGATCATGAGAGCTGTCGAGACTTGAACGAACTTACGATACGACGATTTTAATCGAAGTTGTACTCACACCTCCCGAATGGAAACAAAGATGTCCCCATTGTGTTCAAACAGGGGTGAACAAAGGGTTATCATTAAATCATTACGGTAACAAATTGCGCAATTACTTATATTTGTTGAAGCTTTATCTGGGTCTATTTCATTGTTCGAGGGGTAAACTGAGATAACGCGGAGAAGACGGTGTCCGGACGCCGCTTTATAATCTCTTATCTGTGATTAATACTCCCGTTCTTAACCCCTCCCGAATCCGGTCCGGGTGGAACACCATCTATATCAATGATGGCGAGATAAGGAAAGGGGTGGTTTACTATGCAAATTCGTACGGAGGGATCATTTTTAGTTTTAGTCCACATGTATGTCGGGATCAATGGGATCCGGTTTTCCCTGGAGATGCCTTGTTTTCGGTTGCGCTTGATGTAATGTTTAGCATGAAGTGTAAAGAACTAGCGTATTGTGCACCTACTATTTCGTTTCATAATTTTTCATTGTAGATCAACATAATGGCTTTTATTAATGAGCCACAAAATTTTGTTTGAGATTTCGGTCAATACAGTAGTACAACACAATGGAGATGTGATTAGTGCTACTACTCACACAAACGTCTAGTGATACTGATATTTACAATAAAAATCGTGGGATCTAAATTGGAATCTTGAGGTACACCTTACATGTGTATGTGGTATGTGTATCTGATTCGACTACATTGTATTAAAATTGTTTTGCTTTTGTTATACTAACTAGATTTGTTTTATTTTTTAAGTAACGTCTAGTGCAGGTACATTAGTGGTAATTATTTACCATATAGTAGGTGATAATGATAACGAGAAATGTCGTTTCACTTATCTTTGGGTTAAATTTACTGTTATTTTTGGTTGTAATATTTCTCTCTTCGCGGAATTTTTTACATGATAGAGAATTTTTTATATCTACTGTAAGGACCTCATTCACACTTATCAGCAGTATTTTTATAGCTATTTGTCACCGTTTCTGTTACTATTTATATTGTAAAAAAAAAACTTCAATAAAAAGTTCAGCATTGTTTCTTATCAGTTTATTAAGAACAGCATTAATCGACCAATGAAAAAAAATTAATTTTCAAGGTAAAGGCTAATACTCGTTGCGATCTAAAGATCGTGTTTTTCAGCAGAACCCACACTGGCGAGATCGTACATTGCAACCTTGACACTGCACTTTGATACCTAAATTTAAAAATATTCAACTAAGCTAAATAATTTCCGAATCTCTGAAATGGTCAAAATAAAACCCCTGGTTTGTAAATATTTGCATGTCTAAACAATTACACATGTCGGTAGTATCAAACCACTTATTTTATTAGAAAATTTATCATAATATTCAAATCAGGATACATCGACTATTTGAACGGACTGTAGGTATACGTATACACAATTGTGATAACGAAGTTGCCACATCCCGCACCCAATAACACGCACGGTTTGGTTTAGTAATTTGGTGTGTTTGATGGGTCCCACTGTTTGGATATTTATACCAAATTCCCACCCAATACACTACTCGTAAAATTAATAAATCTGGTAGAACCGGAGTTGTGTACAGGGCACCGCTTTAGACGTTCTTCGATCACGTAACATAATTGGTTAATCACACATGGAAAATAACGAAATAAATAAGTTAATGACTTCAGAAAAACTCATTCAGACGATTGGCGTCCGTACATAATTTGCACTGTTCAGCCACATGCTACCATAAAAATGCAGAACATTTACCGACGGAGATAATATAACAAACGATATCTCGAATCTGCGAGTCTAGAAAGCAATCCGATACCTAAACCTTCGCAACAAAAACAAAAACCGCCTTAAGTATAATCATTCCACCGCGCTGTCTGCAGACGATCTCGCAAAAACTGTACCCCGAGCCACTTTCAGCGACCTTCGTTGACTCCGAGATAAACCCATGCCAACTCAAATAGTTTCTCAATTCCGCGCTAATTTTGACATTGTCGATATCATTGCCCGGCCGCATTTAACAATCCAAAGTCCCTCATTTTACTGCACACTCGGCGATAAATTCTTTGAAAAAAAAAAAAATTATCACCGAACAGCTCAGCAACCGTGTTGTGTCTTCACTACCGGGTTAAAAGTCAAACGATTAAGACACACCAGGATCGCTTTTTTTGCACGATACAAGAGTCCGTCGATCTCTTCGGTACGCGCCACCGAAGACACATCGCCGACGTGGACCGCGATTGGCTGCAACAGCATCACGTGATTGCAACACGCGAAACGGAAACCGTTTGAGGTACCACTCTGGCAATGCAGATCGTTGGCAAAGACCGATGCCGGTGGTAACGCGATTTACAGGTGACGAGTGAGACAAACAGGTGAGTTTTATTGAGTTATGTAAGAGGTTATGGAACAATAGGCGAATTGGTACGAGCGTGGTGTGATAGAACGGTAGTGCGGTCATGAACCTTGTTACATTGCCAATTAGGCGTAGTACTATTCCGTTGCCCATTCAAAACCGCGGATCGGATAACAGTAGCCGGGCGGAGTCGCGGCTTGAGTCTTTTGGTACCGACGCGGTTTATAAAAATTAAAAAATTTAAACGTTAGAATTTGATTCGAGTGGTACGTGTGGGTACCAAAGTTATCCTTGACCGGTCGCTTTTCTTTTTTTGTGTTCTATTTTTAGTGATTCTAGTAGGTTTTTTTTCTTATTTTGTTAATCCTTCCTTAGTCCATTGCCCAAGAGTCAAAGTCTACAATGTAACCTTTGACTGTTCTTATCTTATCGTATGACAATTGACATTTTTACAGAGGCAAGATGTCAGGGCACACCATCACCGAAACCCAAACCGTCCAAAGTACCAAAGAATCTCTACCAAAAAGACAATACAAATGGAATTTCATATGGAGGAATATCATTCTGTACTTGATTATGCATTTTACGGGGTTCTACGGCCTCTACTTGGCCTTGGTCAGCGCACAGTGGAAGACGATTTTCTATTGTAAGTATCATCACACATGCGTCTTAACGCTTTTTGGTACAAGAGATCATCAACGTTTAAATGATCTACTAGCACAAAAAAAAGGGTAAAAATGAGCACGCCAAAAGGTCAAAGGTTATCCCTCAAGGTTCCACCCTGCAACCTCTTTTTTATCAAAACTAGTTTTGACCCCAAAAGTACGTTTCTGTAGGTTGGTCCAGTTAATTTAAACAACGACAAAAAATTCTGCGAATCTACTTAAGTAACTACGAAACTCTGTTTTTTTGCTCTTCCAGGCTGGTTCCTCCTCGTCATCGCTCTTCAGGGCGTGACCGCCGGCAGCCATCGCCTCTGGGCCCACAAGACTTACAAGGCCAAGCTGCCGCTCAAGCTCATCCTGGTAGTGTTCCAGACCCTCTCCTTGCAGAATCACGCCTATGACTGGGCCACTTACCACCGCGTCCACCACAAGTACGTCGACACCGACGCGGACCCGCACAACTCCCGGCGCGGCCTCTTCTTCTCCCACATGGGTTGGCTCTTCGTCCACCCGCAACCGGAAGTCGAGGAAAAGTACAAAAGTATCGATTTCAGCGACTTGCACGCGGACAAAGTACTCATGTTCCAGAAGAAGTATGGCTTAATATTACACCCGCCGAGTCTTACGTTCCGGTTGCAGGTACTACCACACGTTCTTCGCGCCCGTGGTCGGCATGCTGATACCGTCCGCCATCCCGTGGTACTTCTGGGGCGAAAGCTTCGAGAATTCGTTCTTTATAGCGACGATGCTGCGATACTGTTTGTGCACGAACATCACGTTCTTGGTGAACAGCATAGCGCACATTTATGGTACCAGGCCTTACGATAAGTAGGTGGGTTGTGGGGTTCGGATGTGGTACTAATGTGTGCTTACAGGACGATGTATCCAACGGAAGTACCGATCGTTTCGGTGCTGACGGGCGGCGAGGGATGGCACAACTACCATCACGTGTTCCCGTGGGACTACAAGACGGGGGAGTTTGGCAAGTACCGGAGCAATCTGACCACGGGATTTTTGGATTTGATGGCGGCGATTGGGTGGGCATACGATTTGAAGACTGCGTCGGAAGATATGATCATGAAGAGGGTGAACAGGACGGGAGACGGTACCAGGAAGATAGATCAGTTGATTCATGGGTTGAATGACGATCATCACCATGAGGACGACCAAGTCTGGGGGTGGGGAGACAAGGATATGACGGAGGAGGACTTCAGCTACGTGAAGGTTTACAACCGGAAGAGTGATTAGATCGCCGTATGGGGATTTATTTATTTGTTCCAAAGCCATTATTTATTGTTTTCTGCATACCATTCAGTGGAAATGTGGTACACAAAAAATAAAGTTGTAGAATTATGATTTTTGTTTTTGTGCTGAAGTGTCTCGAAATAGGTACCTCGGACAGTCGACTGCGATTCGTCGCCAGATGTCGTCCGTCACAGTACCACTACTGAAATTTCATCGTAATTTATGCCACTAAACCATCAAGATCCCGCTCGTTTTAAAATCTTCTTGGAATCAAGCCGCCACTGCATAACAACGCGATATCGCATCACTTCTCCAACGCCGCCTCGATTCTTATTCTCTCCTCGTCTCCATCCATCCTTTCATCTCGCCGCTGTTTACTTTCGCGTTATTTCTCCCGGTGTGAGCGACCCTCGAAGGCCACAAATTCGCAGAATTGGACCCCGCGCCAATTTGTCGTTACCGATCTAGTTACCACCGTCGATGACAATGGTGGGGAGCCTACACGTGTCGGCCACGTGTCCCTCCAGCGCCTTCAATGAATTAGCCGGTTTGTTTACATGATGGCCATTAGTGAGATGTATTTTTAGGCAGAAACGTGATTTTTCTTCTGTAGTAGATATCGAAATCTCCCGGTATTTCATCTGCATGCAGCATCTAAACTGTCAGCAGAGAATTCTGCAACATTTAATAGAGTTGACTCATCCATTCATTTTAAATATTCCTATCACGATAATCGAATCATATTCATCGACCGGAACCACTGATGGTCAAGTTTTTCAGTTGATATTCGGAAATGCGATCTATTATTAGAAATTTTCCTTTGTTTATTGTTAATCTTCTTGTTTTTGCACAAGCATCGGTATCCAATTATGTATTAACTTTCAAAAAGTTAGTTATTACCAACTTTTTGAAAGTGGTTATTGCTAAATTTTTGGCGTATTTTGACTTCGGATTTGGTGGTTTTAAGGAATTTTCAACGATTTTCCATGTGTCCGGGTTGACTTGGTCTAGAAGTGACATACTGAAACTACTTTCGGCTATTTTCGGATAACAGAGACGGTGTTGTCGTCGCATCTTTTTGCATTCGCGAGTCAATAACGGTGTTGTTGACCTACGTGGTTTCGCGATTGGCATCACTGTTTTTTTCGTTGCTTTAACAGATTGTTGTCGACGACAAAGGGGAGGGTTGTAGTGTTGTTTTATTGAGTGCAATTAAAGAATTAACGGCGGGCTATTTCGAGGCAGCGGACGTTGTCTGCGGGATACGCCGTTTATCTTTTTCGCGATTGGGGTTTAAGTTTTCGAGGGGAACGGCATTCTTGTGATGAGGAGATGCGTTGCGGGCGAGAAAGAAGTCGCTGAAGATTGATTGGTGGCATATTTTATTTCAAACTTATCACACGATGAAAAGATGCACGTTTGTGCAATTTACGGTTGCCTAAAAATCAAACCACCAGGTAAGTTCCAAGTTTAATGACATGTTGAACAGTGACATTCCATGTCATGAATCTTCAAAGTTATTTACATAAAAATTCCTTCATCCCTAAAGCATAATCAAGTACAGTTTCTCGAAAAATGTAAAATTAGGTTCTAATTTTTTTTAATTAAACGGTAATCAAAAAAAAAAAATAATAGTAGTCCAGTAATTTCAAAGATTGCTGCTACAGCCTAATAAAAGTGGCACCGGACACACACAACAAATGATTGACAGACGGAAACGGAAGACCTATATTTTAATATTAACTATGAAACGCTAAGAAAACATGAAATTTACAAAAAAAATCCAAAGCTTCAGCAGTTTTCGCTCAGAAAGCAAAAATGTCTATTTATATTTTATTCAAAATTAAAAAAACTTGTATTGCAAATATTTACAGCAATCATTAGGAAACCCTGATAAGCCACTATCAAGTGCATTGTAACCATAAATTAATCAAACAACATTTTGCTATTATAATTCATGACCTTTTAAAAGATAATATACATGATTATTAGCAACATATTAATCACACCACGATAAAAAATGCGTGTTTTTCCCGAGAGATATGCAACCAGCAATACATGTTAGCTGTACAATTGGTAGTTCAAGCTTTACACTGTAATACCATGTTATGCAACGAACTCATTAATATACTTGAAAAGCAAATTATCCGTCGTGAACTCGATAGAAAATGACTTCTTTACTGTTGATATCCTTTTAATGAAACAATTGTCTGTGTCATTTCGATCCACAAAGTACAGTTTTATTAAGTATTTTGTCCATTCGTTTACGTCACGAAATAACATTATTCACGTTGCTCAGCAATACTTTTCGCCAACTTTCACAATAATAATAGCAGCAATGATTAAAATAGGCTACTTTCTGTAAACAAAAAACACAAATAAAACCCCGGACAATACCGGGCTTAAAAAAAGTTTTAATGTGTTAAAATCCTTCCAAAGGCAACCAAAACAGACACGATAATTAAACGATGACAAAACCCAAACAAAAACATTTTCCTGTATACAACACCATACATTTTAATTAGGAGGGTGAATTAATCGAAAATTCCAGAGGGCGAGTGTAACTAGTGTAAATAAACGTAATAGCGATTGGCACAACGCCTAATAGCCTATTACAGCAAGTCGCCCGATAGCTCCACACTTTTTACCCACTCGGAGCGTGTAAACAACGGCTCAGACAAACTCCGGCGAAAACCCAACATGAAAAATGTCTCTTGTAACATTAAAAATCGCCAAAGTTATTCGCACGAAATCTCCTCCTCGTTGCAATATCAATAACATTTTACGACATCGATTTTCTCACGATAAATACGAGAAAAGTACAATATTTACAGTGCCGCTAAGCCGTCCAGATATAATATACTATTTAGTCCAGTGTGTAAACCGCCACGATACCTTATTATAGTACAAAATTAGACTTCAGCTATCGCTCGGAACTAAAAATCCCATCCATCTGGCGCGGCGCAATTTCCGGGGGGCGTCCGTTTTCTTTCACCCTTGCGAGCGCAACGTGTCTCCCACTTCTTATCCATTTATTAAAGCACGCTGCATTGTCTACCGGCCCGCCCACCGGACCGCACTATTCATTACTGCAACGCAACCCTTTGATGAGGGTCCGCTTCATTTGATGCCGCTCTATTCACAATCTGCCCGTAAAAACACAAAATCGTTACGCTTTATCGCAGGACGTAGTGTGTTGATGGGTCCTTCAGCGAAAATTTATTTTCATGAGAGCTCTCGACTTGTTGTAGTTACAAGGGTGGCAGGTTTTTATGAAAGTTCGCCGGATTAAGGCGGAGAAGGAAGGGCTCGCCACCAAATCCGGCGCGCTGAAAAATCTGACGTCTTGAGGAAGTCTCGGCTCGACCTATCAAGATAAGGCAAAAAAGAACGACGGGTTGGGGCACGAGAGGTTTGCGAAGTGGATGAGCCGGTCGTTGGGTTTTTATCGCTAAATGACCCTTTGTGTGTACACTGGGTGTCAAGCGTGGTCATTTCAATATTTACTTATTGTTTCCAACATGTTCGGACGGGGAGTAAAAAATTCTAGAAGCGTCTATTCTGGGTTTCGGCTTCGGTTCTTTGGTTCCCCTGCGATTTCGCGCCTTTCTGGTCCGTCCCGCCCCCCGGATAATTTTCCGCCCTTGTTTTCCATCCGCTCTGATCCCATATCACGCGCATTTCCCAATTCGCGCCAATTTCCACCTTGCCAATCCATCAAAATTCGCCCGAACAATAATGGGATTCCGCAAGGGATCCTCCTCGGCTCGCTGCTCTTCCCGCATTCGGTTCCTTCCGCTCCCAGCGGCCACATCCGAATTACAACACTTCCTTCGGCCGTTTACCAGCCATAAAAACACCAGCCCGTCCCAAAATTTAGCGTCGGCAACAGGCAAATTACCGCGAATGTGTGGCCCGATCTCTTAATCGCAATAAGCGGAAATTTTAATTAAAGCGTCCCTCCACAATCAACCCCGATATCAGCAATTCTGCGAGTTCACTATCCGCAATAAAGGCGAACAATAAAAACGTTAATACGGGAGTACGAGGGTCAATAAAACGGCCATTCACGAACTTCGATGTTACGTAACACAAACGCAAGCATAAGTCGAGGGTGCTTTTATGGGGCAGTAAACGATATGCATATTAAGGTGCGGTCGCCCTTCCATCAAGGGCCGCTCGCGTGTCGAGCACTAAATCGACAACGAGACTTTTCGTACTAGTAAAATTGGAAAGTGCGCCGAAAAAGGGACAAAAATACGCACGCCCTATTAATGCCCTCGTCCGACGATTCGGTGTCGATTATGAGAGAAACGCGAATTTTTTCGTGGGCTTTTTGTCCCGAGGTTGCGTGTTCGCGATACAAAAGAACACAATGAAGCTGGGACAAAAAGAGAGATTAAGCTTTTTTGCCTCGTTGGGTGAGGGTTTTTTTGGGCGCCGGAGCAGGAAAAGCACTTAATCAAGTTTCATACTTATTTATTATTGTGGAGTGTAGCTGCCTCAAGAACATTCGTTTTAATAATCAGATGTTTCACATTACACGCTGCTGTGATGTGCTATAACGTGGTCTTCTTCACGACGCGGCGAAAAAAAATTTAAGCCGAACATAAAATTTATATTTATGATGACAGCCTGCATTATTTTTAATGCGAGCTATTAATAAGTTAATAAACAAATGTCAGAGTTATTTATCACGTTATTAACGTTTTTTACGCGGACTGGTAATGGGAATGGTCCGGCGAGCCGGATGGGTATCGAAAATGCAAGACCAGAGCTACCAACAGCTGCCACCAGGTCGCTAAATTTCCTAAAATAGCTAACCATACCATTACTATCACTCAATTCGAACCTCATCGTGTTAATTCACCACACGACCTTTCCATTTGACAAACCCGTCCATTTAGCACTTCAATAGCGCCAAAACCATCCGGATGATTATCATAATCATGAAACATTCCAACGGCTGTCAGCTCGACCATAATAGAATTTTCAGCAAACAACCCAATCGTGCATGACTGCTATCGAACTACTGAAGTTGTAATGTCCTGTCCCCAGCAGACAACTCATGCCCTGGTAGATTTCAGTAATTGGCGTGACTGTTGGACCAG